GAAGAAGCAAAGAAAGATGTTTGACTACTGACTGACTCCCGCGTCAGGTTTTGATGGTGCTAAAGTGGAGTGAGCACAAAGGGGGCGAGAGCGTGCTTGTGTTTCATCTCGAAAACAAAAAACAAAGTCATTCAACCGTCAAAACAGGGTTGTCCCGAGATCTACTCGCTGCACTTGTCTCTCGGGGTCTTTTCGGACAACCCAGAAGTTCCACCGCAAATATTCCGACAATCTCTCTGACGTATTCAGAGTCTCCCTGCTCGACTTCTACTCGCAGGCTTCTACCACTCACTGCTGTGTATCTTGGACAAAACTCTCAACCTATCATCCCTAGGCTACACGCGTAGAACGCACGTACTTGCACTTACATATATATGCATCACACAGACAGAGACGACTTGTTTTGTTGCTGCAATCGACTATAGAGAGAATTGCGTGACTCATGATGGACTACTGCAGGTATCCCGCGTGACTCATGATGCTACTGCAGGTATCCAGCCATGATGCATATCTCCGACAATGTTGTCACCACCATTCGGCAAAGAGGTTCGCCCGCCCCCTTCCCCCGTTCCCTTTTTTCAGTTAAAGTTCGGGGTTCCGCGCTGTGCTTTGTGGGGGGGAGGTGACAAGCATTCGCATGATCACACAGAACCATAACTTTGCAAGGCAGGAACCCAGGAAGGGCAGCATTGTCCCACTGGTAGTTGATGGACTGTCCCGGATGCATGAAAAACACACCTATTTTCTAGGAGTTAACCTGCGTCACCTTTGTCCTGTTATGATATACCGTGGTACTCCTTCCCAGGACCACGTGCAGGTAAGAGTAAAGTGTCTCGCAGCGGCAGTAACGTACCTACTAAAGTTTCCCGCACTTTCCGCCCCTCCAATAGCGGCTCTGACCTGGGCAATTCCAACCGTTCAGTTCCGTCATCGTAGCGCCCGGTTGTGGAAGTGACACCTCTCCTTGACTCGCAAGCCACCCCCACGTAACCTCGAACTTGCCTCGAACTTTCCCGGTTAAGATTGTCGTTGTTTGCCATATACAGGTTTATGGTGAAGTAGTTTTCAGGCCGGGAAGAAGATGTGCTCCAAGAAAATAACCTAGTTCAGAGTATTCTTGTCGTATCTGCGGATTTCCCCGGTGGTGACGGTGTGCCAACCAACCTGACGCTGCGACGATCCTCTCAGCAACCCCACCTGTGCAATGTGACGCCAGTACTTGAGAACCACGGCCGTTGAGATCGTTAAGATTCAGGTCGGTCGTAGCATAACGGGCAATAACTCGAACCAGTCCTATTAGTAAATCCAACAAGTAGGGAGTACACAGCAGCTGTTGACAACCCACATGGGGTAAACCATCCCCGTGGCTGCGCAAAATTGGAAGTTGTATATGTGCGGGGGCTTGTTCTGCAGCCGCCACTACTTTTTTTTTTTTTCATGCTCCATCCATGCCACTGCAAGTCTTTTTTTTTTCATGCTTCACTTTGTTGGGCGGTTGCCTGCGGTGTGCACCCTGCCTGGCTAGCTGCCTTGCTATTCCGACCAGGAGGCAACCGTCCGATGCATCCACATCTGTTTCTCCGTGGACAGCGTGCTCCGTAGAACACCATGTTTGATAACACCCCGATTTTCGAAGCTCGACTACCCCAAGAGCTACATGATACTTCCTCTGTATCATAAGTTAGGGTACCTAAATTTGTACGGGCCCTTAACCGTGTCCGATCTGTTTTTCGATTTTTTTGTTGAAATCTTCGTAGTATTTTTAGCAAGAAACATTTATTTTTATTTCTATGCATGCGCCACCCCGCGTGCATGAGCGCCCGAGAAAAAACCAGTCGGCCTGAAAAAGGCCGTATTTTGCATGTATTCTGCCCCCTCCGACCAGGCGACCAGGCGGGGGGGGCGGGGCAATGACAAAAACAAGGCAAAAATACCAAGAATTATCCCTGACCCTAAACCTAGCCTCCCCTCTACTCAACGATCCATGACGCGTCCCCCATACTAAAAGCAGCATAATAGTGGCCCCCACACTGAAAACAAGACACTTGGGGGGACCACACTAAAACCAAGACACTTGCGGGGCAAAGCAAGCAACAGTAGGGCCCTCATCCAACCCCCCCCTCTACTCAACGATCCATGTCGCGCCTCCTATAATAAAAGCAGTATAGTAGTGAGCCACACTAAAACCAAGACACTTGGGGGTCACACACTAAAATCAAGACACTTGGACGGGTACTTCTTTCCGACACCGTAGCGTTCGCAGATCGGGTCAAGCACGCCCTTGGGAATCGTTGACAACCCCGGCTGAATGCCCATCGCAATTTCTACCGCCATGGCATAGCGCCTACCAACCGATAACTCGGTGCCCCTTTTGCGAGGTGGTGTGCTGGGGGGCGATTCCATCGCTAGAGTGAGTAGTGGGCCGGTAGGGTACTAATATCAGATGGTTTTGAGATTTTTTTCGAGAATTCTCAAAAACAATCCCATAATATTTTCTCAAAAATATTCCCAAAACAGGCCAAAATAGGGTATATTTTGACCGATATTAGGTACAGAGATAGATGTTCGTTTTTTTATTTTATTTTTTCTATCGCTTCTTCTTTGTTATATCTTTCTTACAAACCCGACTATGCTGCCATCACTAACACGGTTGCACCCAGACAATCTGTTGCATTCAGGTACCCTAACTTATGATACAGAGGAAGCATGCATATAATTTTGGAGACGGCTCCAAACCCGCCATTTGAAAAAGAGTACTCCAGCTCCGACAATTGGTGCAGGGGGTTTGTGGTATCTTAGCGTCCTGCGGCATGAGCATATATGCACACCACCACCTGGCAGCCCGCATTCGGGGGCCCCGTGTTCCATGGGCACCACGTACCTTCTCGCGGGTACCAGTCTCGCCCAAACTTCACGCCCGCACCGAAGAGCAACCGAGAGTTAAGGAAATTAGGCTCGATGAAAGGCGGATTGTAGAACGTGCAGAGAGAGAAACCAGGAGCTCTGTCAAGAAGGCCAGACGAACAACATATTTTAGAAGGGGGAGAGAGAACAGGTGCTCAGTCAAGAATGCTCGATAAGAGACAGATTTCAGAAGGTGAGGGCAGAAAGCGAGTGCAGGTGCTTATTCGAAAAACCTGTGCTACAACCTATTCTACCGTAGGTTGCGTAAGATATCAGAGTTACATCAGATACCACCCCCTCCGAAAATGCACACAATACCACACCCGTGTGCGATGTTAATCCCGAAAAATGGCGTAATTTATCACACGGTGACACGAGATACCACCCCCCCTAAAGTTGACCCGCATATTATCGACGGGGCTTCCGCTGATCGCACGGTGTGACAACGTGAGAACTCGAGACCACAAGCGCACAACCTTTTCGCATAAACCATGTAGGCCGACAATGCGAGGGTGCAATTAGCAACCCTACTGAAAGCCCGGGGCTCAGACTGCAGTGGGTATGACTTCAGCGGCGGTTCCACACTCCGTAGCGTCTTTTTCCAAGCCGCCGCAGGGAACGTGAGGCCCCGGCTGAGACGACTCCCTCAGCAGCCGTGCATGACACCGTGCGTACTTCTGAGGCCCGCCCAACAGAATCCACTCGCGCTGAGACTCCCACAGTACCGGCTGCGCCTGTCACCGCGGGTGCCACTGAAACCTGCGAAGCAGAATCTATTGGCTCCCGCAGAACCCACACCCGCACCCGGAAAGGAAGCTCTCCCGCAAACCGCCAACACCCTGAGCGCGGCTTTTACTGCTGAGAACCCTGCAGCAGCACCGCGCTATTGAGAACCATCGTGCACCGTGCACCAACCAGCCCTTGTGGGCAGAGTCTCTTGGTTGTTGCTGGCACTTGCTAACGTCCTACATAGTTCCAGCTTGAGTGATAAACGCAAGTCTGCAAGTCGTTGGGTCGTCCAGGTACTGGTGTGCTGTCGTTCAGTCGCACACAACCCCGTCACAGCTGCTATAAGGTATCGGAACAACACGATTGTTGAAGCATTCCACAGGATATTGCGAAGAGGCACGTGGGAGAGCACGTGATGATTTTCCGTGAGCCACCCTAGCTTTGTAGGTGGGTTCCGCTTTCCTGCTTTGAGCAAATTTCATCACATGAGCGACATGGCTATTACACCCCCGGTAGGTAGGGTCTTGTGACCGTATGGCTTTTTGTCGACATTAACACACCTCCTGCAGGCCAGGTCCTGTGAGCGCGCTGAACATACTGGCGACGTTATCACACCTCATTGATATGACATGTGGGTGAGGTCCTTTGAGTGCACTTTATCACACCAGTGACACAAGATATCACCCTCCCTGCAGAACACCACACCCGTGTGATATCTTTGGCGCCCCCAAATATGTCACACGGGTGTGGTATCCTATGCAACCTACAGTTCTCATCGTTGGGGTACCCAACAGAGAGAATATGAAACGAACCTCGTCCCGGGTAGTATGTATGAGGTTATTTGGTACGCGCGCTAACCGTAGGCGTATCCCCACAGAAACGACGTATCGTTTCCTCTGTCTTTTTTGTTTTTTCCGGTACCATAAGCATGTCTCGTTTTTCACCATTCTTTCGGGAACTTGCATTCTATGTATCTATACTGCTGCAGATAGCACCCTTGCCCGCTCTTTTTTGAAACTATCGAGATCCCCGCATTTGATCCACCCACCTTCATCCACATGGTAAAATATGCGAACCTAGACCCCCCCCCCCGAATCGTGGTAAATGTGGCCATATGGTCAAGGACAATCACTAGATATCCCCTAACAACGATGTACAATAACCATATGGACGCTTTTTTTATCTGTCTTCTCCTTCAGGAGTATGTCTGCTCCTTGTGTTGTTGTCCTACTTTCTTCTCCCATTCCCCACAGACCGTCCCCCCCCCCCCCCCCCCCCCCCCCCCCCCCCCCCCCCCCCCCCCCCCCCCCCCCCCCCCCCCCCCCCCCCCCCCCCCCCCCCCCCCCCCCCAACACCGTGCCCATCAGAAAGCGCAACCTCACATGAGCCCGGTGCAGGGCCGGTACAGCTGCGTGGCGGCCGCCCTCCCTGGAGACTCGTTCACCAGCGAAGTGGTCGTCGGAGGGGTGCTTAACTTTCTCAGCATCTACAACCTACTGATAACCGGCCGCGTCCTGCTCTCCTGGGTGCCGCAGGTGTTCTATTGTTTTATCGTGATCCATTTGGTTTTGTCGTGTTCTATTGGATTCCATCGAGTTCTTGTGGGTTTTGTTGGGGTTGTGTTTCTAATCTGGTTGTGCTTCAGGGTCAAATCAAGTCCTTATCGATCGCATTTCATTCATGTTTTTTTTTTTGTCGATGTGTACAGCAAGCGCCCGCGCTTATAAACCTCTAGTTTCGGCCGAGGCTGGGATTCTGTGTTTCTATGGAAGCTTGTGCTTCAAATGGCCGCTATGTATTTGGTTTTAGGGAAAGGTTCTCATCAGTGCTCGCAAAGTCGTCCTCGGTTTCTGACGGTTTGGGTTTTGATACCATGAAGCATGATGAAGACGAATGTGGTCTGTGGTCTAACCTAGCGCCGGCACAACAGCTATTTAGTTCTTACGCTTGGGAGCCTTTTGTTTGGGATGACGCTCGTTTCTTTGTTTCTCTGTTGAGAACCCCAACAGTGCCCATGTAGAGTTTTAGGCTACTTGACTGAGCGCCTGTTGGTGGCCAAGTTCCAGAATTGGTCGCTCATTTGAGCCTGAAGTTCTTAGCTCCCGGGTTACGGGTTCTGAATGTACGACCTCTTTTCGCCCCCCCGTCTCCTCCCCCCCCCCCTCGGTGTTTGCCATCGGGATTGGGTTTTCGTCGCTTGGCAAAGACGTTGTAAAACAAGCCAATTCACTTCGTGAACTCGGCAACCAGGTTACCGTTTNAAGTGAAAGCACCAGAAAATACACTAAATGATACGCAGCTGTCATCCGTACGCAAGGAAGTAAGCACAAGATGCCGAACACCCTTAGCAGGATGCAGCGCACCCTTCATGCGACTCGCCGAATATCTCACGGCGCTTCGCGCTTGGTGATGTGAGAGCCTGGTCCGGTGAGAACCCGGCGTGCCCCGTCCCGGCTTTGTAGGGATGCGAGGTCAATGGTCTAACGACTACGGCATGCACGACTNGCTCGGCCTTGGCCCGCTTTTGTACCTTCGTGAGCATCTATCTCCTCTCCCTCCTTGCCTCTCCTTTCCATGTCTTCCCGGCACTTGCGTAAATTTCAATACTTGACTTGTGGTATGTTGCAGCTTCAAGGTGTGCAAGCGCTGGAGCCGGTGTACCTCCTCACCGACCCCTACCTCAACGCATTCCGAAGGTACGCTCGTTGTCCTACCCTTTCGTTTCTCCTTCTAAACCCTCCGTCACTGCCGTCTGCCTTTGCCTTCAGTGGCTTGGAAGAGTCGAACACATTTGTTTGACGCAATACCGTAAGCAAGTTCGACGCAAATGATCCACACAGCAACGGCAGAACTTGTATTTGTTTTGATCGCAAAACCCGAAGGTGCGGTAGGTTCAACGGGTTTCGACGAGAAATTTAGTTTCGAGGATGCACCGGTCCGTGTCTGCATCCTCTCTCTTCCCTTTCGGAGATAACGAGCTGGGCCATTTCTGCCTATGATTCTACATGCTGATTGCTTTTTGATTCACGGCAAGGCGAGCCATGTCGTAGCCTCCATGGGAAAAGCTTCCCACGCAACGGTAGCCGGTGGGCCTGCTCTTGCTGCGCAAGCGTTGCATTAGGCTTGCTTGCGTGCTTATGTTTCTGGCACTCAAATGGTGGCACAAATGCGCTCAAGAACAATGGTGGCACACAGAGGTGCCGTGTCAATATCTGCCTCGTCAACGGTTATTGGGATTTATGGCCCCCCTCGCCCTCTCACAAACACCTCGGCAGTACGAGTCGCCTTTGGGGCCGGTCGACGTGTTGTGCCGACCGGTCCGGCCGGCGGTAACTCTGCCTGCCCCGTCGTCCCTGTTCGGTGCATTGGTGGTCCTGATATACCACGCTTCAGGGACAAAACAAAAACAGTCGCAGTACTGTATGTCTGGACACCGCATTACTGAGTGTTAGAGATATTGCTGTTGGTATCGCAGCAAAATCCTCGCGACTTTTAGCGCAGTGTATCGGGACCACCATCGTAGATGGCGTTTGGAATAGGTCCTATGGCCTGAGGACAACCGGCAATGCCGACCCCCACACAAGCCATTGTGCGCTGCGGTACACGTTGATGTCTGGTCGTCCCTTAGAGCGAGCATCACACCTTGTTGGTAACCTTGACAGTGAAATTTTAGGTCAACCCCTCCCCCGATCGCATGACCAGGTTCTGGTCCATCTTATGAAACGTCGTATGGGCCGGCGAAAACCCGGTATTTCGGTCCGTCCCGGCATGGTAGGGGTGCGAGATCAATGGTCGAACGACTAAAGCATGCGGGTTCACGAGTCCCCACCCCCCGCCACCCCCCGGCCCCCTCGATGGAAACCCGAGAAAGTGGTTCAAGTGGGTCCGGGTTGGGGCGTTTGTGGATTGCGACAACGGCTTCGCCATCCAATCACCACCGCCTTTTCTTTTTCGTTGCAGGCTTAACTTGACGATCGGTGGCCTGGACCTGTCGGTACTGCCGGCCTTTTTCCTCCTCTCGTTCGCGACCAACGCCGTGGCTTCTCTCGGGGCGGAGGTAAGAATGAAAAGTACGACCAAGTCAAGACTTGAAGACTTTGCTATGCTAAGTGCGTGTGATCTTCCGATATACGGTAGGTTGTTATTTTACGTTCACCCGTGGGATGGTTGCATTCATAGTCAATCCGGAATAGTGATGAACCGGCTTGTTTTTCTTCGAACTTGACAACAAGTGAAAACGTTATGTCTGTATACGGCCATGTATCATGGACACACTCGCCGAGGTCACCCACGAGGTAGGGCAAATATTTTTTTCTTTTTTTCTCTGCAGTGCTGGCCCTTGTTTTTCCTTAGGGCAAGAAGAAGTCCGCCTTTCCTTGTCCCTGTTCGTGCATGCGAATAGAAAGTATTGCATCACCTTTGTCACGCGGTGTAGACAAGTGAAATAGTCTTCCTCGCTCAACGCTGTGTCGAGATGCTGATTGAGGAGGTTATGAAATCGCCAACCGAACCATCCTTTGGAGCCACCACCTGGAACGTTGACTTTCCGATTATGTTTTCTACCTACCTTTTAGTCTTGTTTCTACCATTTTGAACATTCACCATGTAGAACCGCTTGTTACCCAAAAAATGTACATCCTCGATGGAAGATCTAACCCCGTCTCCGTTCCCTGTCTCTGGAACGTGTTTGACGCCCCGAGGTTTTTCGACGGGCTGTGTGTCGTCAGCCTGTTGTTCTGTCGAAACGGACTTTCTTCCGGACCCATTTTCACTGATTGCTCCCCTTGTTACGCCGTGCGAGTGTGTCATCTATTTTTATTGTGTTTTTGCGGGTCCGCTTTTTTTTTTTTTTTGGTTGGTTTCAAACAAACACCTGCTTTGAACGGAGATCCACTCCGTAGCGGTGAAGCGGAGGGAACAGCACCCGCAGGATTCACTGGACTGTCGAAACTGATTCCCTCGGGTGAAGCATGGGCGAAATCAGTATTTAGAACGTGGCAAGGGTCGTGTGGAAGTCCGTTCTCATTTTGTGGGTAAATGTCGAACCAAACGGGATCTTCGGCGGTCGGCGTCCAAACGCCCACGCCGGAAACGACCACCGGCATCCACGGTCTTACTTTGAGATCGAACTGGTGCAAGATCATTGTGACGCCTTGCCAGGGCGGGCCTAAGTTTTGGTGATGGGCTTTGATATACGAAACCACCAACCCTACGTTTGGGGCGGGGATCGGCTGCTGGTACGCCTTGTAATTCAGTGGAAGTCGCTTAGCACAGCACCACCGCGTGGCAGATGCTTTCTTAGCTGGCCAAGAGACTCTTCATTACGCCTATAGGTCAAAGCCGGTAGCAGGCAAAGTTACACATTCATGCTGCCCTCTTGTTTCCGGCATCCCACCCGGTCGCTAAACGTAGGGTTACGGAAGGAGTTGGGCACACAGGCATTGGTTTTGCGACGCTTAGATCGTGGTGATTCGTTGGCGAAGAAAGTTCCTGTGCACATGGGATTTTGCTTTTCAAGCATATTGCGTCCGCACAGGCTTCTTCTTTCACTGGCTATCAGACTCACCCGGTCCGGAAAAACGACGACCCATCCAATGTGGAAAACTGGAAACGCCTCCCGACACCCCATTCCGGTTCTTCCTAGGTTTGCCGCTCCGACGAGTTTCGTGTGGAATGCAGCCCTCCGAATGCTTGTACCCCCCCGTTCCCATTCCATTTTTCCTTTCGCCCCATCCTCTACAGGACGCGTGGTCAAATGAGCTAACCGCTACAGCATGCAAAACATAGGTACCCCCCCCCCCCCCCCCCCCCCCCCCCCCCCCCCCCCCCCCCCCC